AATGCATAGAGGCCAAACACTCTAAACGCATGTTGATTTTAAATATGGAGGGAAACCCCAGAGGACCCGGAGAAAATCCATGTAACCACGGGGAAAGAGACATGTAAACTCCAAATATACAGCAGGCGTCCTGATCGGGATCGAACCCACAACCTCCTACATACTAGGCGAGGTAGATAACATCTCTCCACCGTGGTGCCCCGATGTTAAGTGGCGAAAGCTTGGGCAAGCCTTCATCTAGCAGTGCATTGACGACGGCTGCTGATGATGATGTTGAATTTGGGAAGGCCTCAGCACCTCCTACCACGTGACTTTACCAACTCAGTTCACTCAACTGTCGCAGCCACACAGATATCAAATGTATGTATAAACAATTCTAATGCTCTTTGTTTCAAGGAAAGTTAAATAGCAATATTAAATTCATGCATTTGCTGTATCGCTTCTTTGCTGACATTCACTAAGAGTTAACAAGAGCTAAGGTGAGGGAATGCACACGAAATAAATCTGTCACTAAGCCATGTATTTTCTTAATTATTAATGTGTACTCTAGTGTGCCAAAAATGGTTATGAATATCGAAAAAATCCATTATAAACCTGGGTTCCATGTCACATTACGAGAGCTGTCCGGAGCAATAAACAGTAGAGTAGCATTAATCCCCTTTGGATATTTTATCTGCCATAAACACAACACGTTTAATTAAACCGAAATGAATAACAAACATACACTATGCATTATTCCAGTATATTTTTTAACACAGCAGGAAATGGCAATGCATTTTCTCTCATTACGTGTGGCCGGGAAAATTGTGAGGCAGCGAAGCTTAAAAAAACAAACACAGACACAACAAAATATCGCAATAAAAATAAGCGGAATAATTGAAATTCTGTGAGTCTAACATCCCGACTGTGACTGCAGCGTGACATCTCACTCGCCTGCTGAGCCTCCCTGGCTCACACCCTCCACCCCCATCTCTCTCTCTCTCCACTTTTGTCTCTGCCAATTCCAAACCTCTCGCCTGTCGATCTGTCTCTACCCCCGCCTGGCTAGCTGCCTGGCCCTGTCTGTGTCTCTACCCCACCTGGCTAGCTGCCTGCCCCCTGCCTGTGTCTCTACGCCACCTGGCTAGCTGCCTGGCCCTGTCTGTGTCTCTACCCCCGCCTGGCTAGCTGCCTGCCCCCTGTCTCTGTCTCTACCCCCACCTGGCCAGCTGCCTGTCCCCTGTCTGTGTCTCTACCCCACCTGGCTAGCTGCCTGCCCCTGTCTGTGTCTCTACCCCACCTGGCTAGCTGCCTGCTCCTGTCTGTGTCTCTACCCCCACCTGGCTAGCTGCCTGGCCCTGTCTGTGTCTCTACCCCCACATGGCTAGCTGCATTCCCCCTGTCTGTGTCTCTACCCCACCTGGCTAGCTGCCTGGCCCTGTCTGTGTCTCTACCCCACCTGGCTAGCTGCCTGCCCCTGTCTGTGTCTCTACCCCCACCTGGCTAGCTGCCTGCCCCTGTCTGTGTCTCTACCCCCGCCTGGCTAGCTGCCTGCACCTGTCTGTGTCTCTACCCCCGCCTGGCTAGCTGCCTGCCCCTGTCTGTGTCTCTACCCCCACCTGGCTAGCTGCCTGCCCCTGTCTGTGTCTCTACCCCCACCTGGCTAGCTGCCTGCACCTGTCTGTGTCTCTACCCCCGCCTGGCTAGCTGCCTGCCCCTGCCTGTGTCTCTACCCCCACCTGGCTAGCTGCCTGCCCCTGTCTGTGTCTCTACCCCACCTGGCTAGCTGCCTGCCCCTGTCTCTGTCTCTACCCCACCTGGCTAGCTGCCTGCCCCTGCCTGTGTCTATACCCCCACCTGGCTAGCTGCCTGCCCCTGTCTGTGTCTCTACCCCACCTGGCTAGCTGCCTGGCCCTGTCTGTGTCTCTACCCCACCTGGCTAGCTGCCTGCCCCTGTCTGTGTCTCTACCCCCACCTGGCTAGCTGCCTGCACCTGTCTGTGTCTCTACCCCGCCTGGCTAGCTGCCTGGCCCTGTCTGTGTCTCTACCCCACCTGGCTAGCTGCCTGCCCCTGCCTGTGTCTCTACCCCCACCTGGCTAGCTGCCTGCACCTGTCTGTGTCTCTACCCCACCTGGCTAGCTGCCTGGCCCTGTCTGTGTCTCTACCCCCACCTGGCTAGCTGCCTGCCCCTGTCTGTGTCTCTACCCCACCTGGCTAGCTGCCTGCCCCTGCCTGTGTCTCTATCCCCACCTGGCTAGCTGCCTGCACCTGTCTGTGTCTCTACCCCCACCTGGCTAGCTGCCTGCCCCTGCCTGTGTCTCTACCCCCACCTGGCTAGCTGCCTGCCCCTGTCTGTGTCTCTACCCCACCTGGCTAGCTGCCTGCCCCTGTCTCTGTCTCTACCCCACCTGGCTAGCTGCCTGCCCCTGCCTGTGTCTCTACCCCACCTGGCTAGCTACCTGTCCCTGTCTGTGTCTCTACCCCACCTGGCTAGCTGCCTGCCCCTGCCTGTGTCTCTACCCCACCTGGCTAGCTACCTGTCCCTGTCTGTGTCTCTACCCCACCTGGCTAGCTGCCTGCCCCTGCCTGTGTCTCTACCCCACCTGGCTAGCTACCTGTCCCTGTCTGTGTCTCTACCCCACCTGGCTAGCTGCCTGACCCTGACTGTGTCTCTACCCCACCTGGCTAGCTGCCTGCCCCTGTCTGTGTCTCTACCCCACCTGGCTAGCTGCCTGCCCCCTGTCTGTGTCTCTACCCCCACCTGGCTAGCTGCCTGCCCCTGTCTGTGTCTCTACCCCCACCTGGCTAGCTGCCTGCCCCTGCCTGTGTCTCTACCCCACCTGGCTAGCTGCCTGCCCCTGTCTCTGTCTCTACCCCACCTGGCTAGCTGCCTGCCCCTGTCTGTGTCTCTACCCCACCTGGCTATCTGCCTGGCCCTGTCTGTGTCTCTACCCCACCTGGCTAGCTGTCTGCCCCTGTCTCTGTCTCTACCCCACCTGGCTAGCTGCCTGCCCCTGTCTGTGTCTCTACCCCCACCTGGCTAGCTGCCTGCCCCTGTCTGTGTCTCTACCCCCGCCTGGCTAGCTGCCTGCACCTGTCTGTGTCTCTACCCCCGCCTGGCTAGCTGCCTGCCCCTGTCTGTGTCTCTACCCCCACCTGGCTAGCTGCCTGCCCCTGTCTGTGTCTCTACCCCCACCTGGCTAGCTGCCTGCACCTGTCTGTGTCTCTACCCCCGCCTGGCTAGCTGCCTGCCCCTGCCTGTGTCTCTACCCCCACCTGGCTAGCTGCCTGCCCCTGTCTGTGTCTCTACCCCACCTGGCTAGCTGCCTGCCCCTGTCTCTGTCTCTACCCCACCTGGCTAGCTGCCTGCCCCTGCCTGTGTCTATACCCCCACCTGGCTAGCTGCCTGCCCCTGTCTGTGTCTCTACCCCACCTGGCTAGCTGCCTGGCCCTGTCTGTGTCTCTACCCCACCTGGCTAGCTGCCTGCCCCTGTCTGTGTCTCTACCCCCACCTGGCTAGCTGCCTGCACCTGTCTGTGTCTCTACCCCGCCTGGCTAGCTGCCTGGCCCTGTCTGTGTCTCTACCCCACCTGGCTAGCTGCCTGCCCCTGCCTGTGTCTCTACCCCCACCTGGCTAGCTGCCTGCACCTGTCTGTGTCTCTACCCCACCTGGCTAGCTGCCTGGCCCTGTCTGTGTCTCTACCCCCACCTGGCTAGCTGCCTGCCCCTGTCTGTGTCTCTACCCCACCTGGCTAGCTGCCTGCCCCTGCCTGTGTCTCTATCCCCACCTAGCTAGCTGCCTGCACCTGTCTGTGTCTCTACCCCCACCTGGCTAGCTGCCTGCCCCTGCCTGTGTCTCTACCCCCACCTGGCTAGCTGCCTGCCCCTGTCTGTGTCTCTACCCCACCTGGCTAGCTGCCTGCCCCTGTCTCTGTCTCTACCCCACCTGGCTAGCTGCCTGCCCCTGCCTGTGTCTCTACCCCACCTGGCTAGCTACCTGTCCCTGTCTGTGTCTCTACCCCACCTGGCTAGCTGCCTGCCCCTGCCTGTGTCTCTACCCCACCTGGCTAGCTACCTGTCCCTATCTGTGTCTCTACCCCACCTGGCTAGCTACCTGTCCCTGTCTGTGTCTCTACCCCACCTGGCTAGCTGCCTGACCCTGACTGTGTCTCTACCCCACCTGGCTAGCTGCCTGCCCCTGTCTGTGTCTCTACCCCACCTGGCTAGCTGCCTGCCCCCTGTCTGTGTCTCTACCCCCACCTGGCTAGCTGCCTGCCCCTGTCTGTGTCTCTACCCCCACCTGGCTAGCTGCCTGCCCCTGCCTGTGTCTCTACCCCACCTGGCTAGCTGCCTGCCCCTGTCTCTGTCTCTACCCCACCTGGCTAGCTGCCTGCCCCTGTCTGTGTCTCTACCCCACCTGGCTATCTGCCTGGCCCTGTCTGTGTCTCTACCCCACCTGGCTAGCTGTCTGCCCCTGTCTCTGTCTCTACCCCACCTGGCTAGCTGCCTGCCCCCTGTCTGTGTCTCTACCCCCACCTGGCTAGCTGCCTGCCCCTGTCTGTGTCTCTACCCACCTGGCTAGCTGCCTGCCCCCTGTCTGTGTCTCTACCCCCACCTGGCTAGCTGCCTGCCCCTGTCTCTGTCTCTACCCCACCTGGCTAGCTGCCTGCCCCCCCCTGTCTGTGTCTCTACCCCGCCTGGCTAGCTGCCTGCCTGTGTCTCTACCCCCGCCTGGCTAGCTGCCTGTCCCCTAACTGTGTCTGCCCGAGTCTCGGTCTCTCCCCACCGTCCTACACCCCCCCCCCCCCCCCCCCACTAATCCTGTGGTGGGCGGAGGGAGACGGGAAGCCGCGTGCTGTGCCCCGGGCCTCTTCACCGCTGCCGCGTCGTCACGGAGATTGCGCCGCTTGCCGGCTTGTGGTGGTGGGTGGGTGGGGTGGTGGTGGGTGGGGGGTGGTGGTGGGTGGGGGGAGGTTCTCACAGCAGAGCCATTGCCTCGCGCTGCCTGGGACCTCCACAGCAAACGGCGTGGCACGTCCCGGAGAATTCCCTGCCGCTCGTGGCTCTCTCTCGGACCCATGCTGCCCTCATGATGCCCGCTGTCACCTTCGACGGGAATCTCCCGCCCGGCATGGAATCATGGCTCGATAACGAACGTTTCCTTCCGCTGGTAAGACGTTTTTTGTTTCTTTCTCGCTCGATATCTCTGTATATGTGTGTGTGTGACTATCCTTCTCTCAGCTAACGGTGTTGTGATTTGAGTTTTGTGTGGTGTGTGCGGATTGATTACGGGTTTTTTTTTGCATTTGTCAACAGATTGATATTGCCGCGTCGCGCTACAACGCACGCGTTCGTCCACGTTTAAGGAACGATCTCATCGTCTCTGACATCCGTGTGCTCTCTGCTACTTGCTTGAATGGATTCCATTTATATTCAGCACCCACTGCAAGCCATTTTTGGGCATATTTATTCCCAGGGTAATTAAGCATGGGGCTGCGGATGTCTCAACAGATGCATTTGCTTGGTGACCAATATCAACAGGATTTCTGTCAATATCGTCACGAAATGTGTTTCTCGATTAAAGTGAAACTAACCTGTTTAGGTTGTACGCCTATTGCATTCACAAGCATTGTGACTGAACGTGATCATTTCTTGATTTTTGCTTTGGCGATCAACGGCATCATGATGGTCGCGAGGTTGCGATGAGCGCTGCTAATATCTGTCAAGGTCCACGCTTCAGGTGTCAATGTGAGATTAATGCTCGGTGCTGTGTGCGCGTGTATCTGCTTGCAATTTCCAAAGCCCCCGCACTGCATTGAATGCAACCCTCCACTTGATGAATCTGTCAGGCAGAATATATGACCTCGAGATGCCGAGGTGGAGTCTGTCCCGTATTGCTGTATCAGCCGCGTCGGTTCATTTGAATATCATTAGCAATGCACGCGCCTTATCTGTGATTTGGCATTGAGCAGCGAGACATTTTCGGACCTGATACTGGTAGCAATCTTAACGCAGTAATTTGTATTTATTTATAATAGCAACGGGTGGCACGGGGGAGAGGATTTTATTATTCATTATTTTTTTTATCACTCCCGACACACTAATTACATTTAGAAAAATGTATACAGTGTATAAATAGTCGCACGCGTGAATGTGTTTCCCCCCACCCATCCCCTCCCACACGCCCCCCTTGCCGATTCGGTTTGTTATTTGACACGGTGGTCAGCCAGATGAAATACTGTCGCCCGAATGAGGATGGTTCATTAGCTCGGCCCGTGCAGACGTGTTCAAGCAAGGCGCTCTGCTCGTTTGACCGTGAGTGACGAATGGGGGAGGGGGGTGGGGGGGGTGCTCTTCCTCGTGAGAAGGAGCCCGCGACCTGCACTGCGGTACGTCCCCGCCATATGCGTGGCTGAGGAGGAAGGGGCCTAATGGCTGAATCGGATGCCAAACAACGGCCCCGCAGTATCCATGGTCGCGTGGATGGCACCGCTCGCAAAAACCGACGACCTCTCCGTGCGTGCGTGCGCGCGCGCGGTTTAGAAAAAAAAAATTTGATTTCTTTATTTAACAAATTTGCGGAGAAGTTTTATTTTTCACGGCCTCGTATATACAAACAAACAAAAAATCGCAACCTTTTTGGTATACATTTTCAGTGATGGATTTTTGCTTCTTATTTTCAATGATCGATTACGATCGGAGCGTGCTCTGGGAAATGGCACGATGCGCGTTACTGCGTTTAATTGCGAAATGTGGCCAGGGTTCGAGACGCAAGTTTCGACGACTGGCAGTAATTTATGGACTAGCACGTAATCACCTCACAATTACGGGAGCGCACGGAAAGAAAATAATACACTCATCAATCAATCGCTCGTGTCCTTTATTTATTACCAGGCGAGATGACAATGATGACCGCCAGTAAATTAACGGCAGGAGAACCCGTCCGAGAGGCGATACTGACTGCAAGGCACAAACTCTGTGGGGCAACTGTCCCTGTTGTGCGCCAGTGGCTCCATTAATCTTCATGCGCACTCGACTGCCTTGTCATCATCCCACCGCCAAGATGGCAGGTGTAGAGTTAAACGGCGTCAAAGTGTTTGTTTTTGCCGGAGGAGTGAGAAGATGCGACGGCTCTCGCTACCCCTCCCTCCGTGCCCTGCGGTGGCTGCGTTTAAGTTTGAGCTGCAGTGCAGTAAAAGCGAATTAAAAGAGAGAGAGAGCGAAAAAATGAGGCAAGGTGTGAATTAATAATTGAAAGGGGGGCATTGCCTAAGTAAAATTAGCAGGTGGGCAGAGGTGGGAAGTTAATAAGTCATGAGCTGCCCCTATTGCGTGATCTCGCAAAACACTCACAAATTTGGGCACAGTGGGTATTGCCAGCCGGTGGCGTCCGTGCCAAATTACAGTGGGGGGGGGGGGGGGGCGGGGGAACTGGGAGCAGGTAAACATGGGATGAGAATGACAGTGGAGCCCGAGGAGCTGAGACAGAATGGGTGTCATGCTAATAGGTGTTACTGTCACATGTTGAAAAATGAAAAAGAACACACACAAAAAACGTGGCAATGATTTCAGATTGTCATTTCTTAACACGAGTGGCGACTGATATCTGAACTGGTCCTGGGTGACACCTTCGCCGAACCGCACCGGACAACACAACCACCCTGACCAGCACAGCGCCGGGAGGCCTTCATCCAAGCAGTGGATTTTATTTAAGCCGTGCGACATTCGGTTGGGGCAGGTTTTTTCGTTCGATTTTTCTTTTTTGCACCATTTGCTCGGACCAGATGCATTGTTGCTTGCATTTGGAGAAACCTGCAGCAGCGTCTCACCCCGTGCATTTGGAGAAACCTGCAGCAGCATCTGACCCCATGGGATGACAGTCGTGTAGCTTAGAGGTGGCCGAGGGGACCCATCAGAGGCTCCAACAATAGCAGAAGCCATCCGAAGGTATTTTTAGGATCCCAGCAGGGAACTCTGATGAAGCCCCCGGGTACCATGTGTGCAACGATAGATGTTTTTGCTGTGTCATACAGTTCAATGCAATAGCTAAATAATGAGGAGGTGAACGGTGATCATTTTTGGGATATTTAAAAGAAAATCTAATCGATGCCCTGCTCAAATTAGTATCGAAGCTATGCTCATTTCCAGTTTACAGCCCTGAGCAAGTGGTGGTAATTTCACATTCCTATGCTAAGGGATGATAGACTGAGTCAAACGTCAACCAGAATTTAAGACAATCAGAGTCGTTAGATATATTTAAGTCCGTCTTGAATACTCATCTTCTTTAAATTGCCATTTACTCTCCGGTTCTGGCCGTTTCCTGCTTTCCAAACATGGATGCATTGGCATCTACGGATGAAATACGCCATAGAAAATGTCAATTATTATTAATAATTTGAACTTGCAACGGTCTGATTGAAAGCCGCTCGCCCTATCACTGAGTCACTTGGTCAGATTACACATATTCTGGCCCTTGCAATAGGGTTGTGGAACATCCACCACTGGCCTAGCGCCAAGCAATACTCATTTGAGCACACGGAGACGCTTTGGCTGGAAGAATGAATACAGTGATCACGATGATGATGATAATACGGGTCGCACACAGCCGCTTATTTAACAAGAGAGGCGTTTAAACTACAAGATCGAAATGCCATCGTGGCCAAAGCCGTCGATGCCACCGTTTAGACTTCACTGAGGATACAGTCGTGATCAGACCCGAAACTAAACATCCACACCGTTGTGATGGACACTCTCCGGTGTAGCGGAAGCAATTTGTCACATTTCAGATTGAGCTGCAACACATTACTGCTCACCTGTCCTTGCCCCTGCTCCGCCCAGAAACGACTCGCCTCCACGTCTGCTCAAGGAACACCGTGACACATTTGCGACACAGCCAAAGTGTTCTTACCTCTTAATAAATAGAGGCATGCAAATGATTTGACCGACGACTGCTTTGAGTCAACTAGAACAATAGAATAAGTTATTGAAATCCACAAACTGAGACTTGCCTCAGCTCATCGACTCGACCAGGACTGTAACTGAAATAAGAAATGCTGATTAAATTATCACTGGCAGGAAACCTTAATAATACCCCCATAGAGCCCCCCATGACCCCCCATCCCATCCCCATAAGAAACACACAGTGACCTCACGCACACAGTGCCCTCGAAGCAGCGAAAATTAACAACAAACCACACTCTGTCGCCCGGGTCAATAAGACTGCGAGGGCCTGGAATTGGAATTGCCAGCACATCAGGTTAGATTAAAAGAGCACACTGCATGCCCCCGAGGATGAGTATGAGACCACAAATGTGTCCCGTTGCCCCAAAAATGGTCTGGCATGGTGTCCAGAGATGGTTAGAAGGTAGCCATGGAGTGCCGCGGTATTTATATGTTTTTGTCTTGTGTACGCAAACGATAAAACACTTTTTCAACTAACATGCCGAGCGTATGGAGAGATGCGAATGACAAATTTATTTTCGTTCCATGCAAAGTTACTCTACCACCGCCAATGATAATAATTATGGCAAACGGAATGGTTTGTTATTAACGAGTGAACAAATAAATCAATTCACTGTGTCATCATGGAACGGCCTTCATTCAGTGGTGGATATTGAGTGGCTGATGCAAACACCTCCTTAAGGGGTCGTCCATAAATGACGTCACGCGATTTTGGACGATTTTTGGCCCTCCTCCTCGTGACACGGCGTCACAAAAGTCAGACTCCCCCTCAAATATGACGTCATAAAGCTCTGTCCCCCCCCCCACCCCCAAACCATATTTCCATTTTGAAAATAAAACATGCTTCAAATCGCTTTAAACTATTGTCATTGTAGTGCGTAGTTAATGTGGCGCTGCACTCTGATGTTGTAGGAGTGTTGTTATAACAATTAGTGTTGTTATAACAATTCTATATTTATTTGAAGTTGCGCATTTTGATGTGACGTCACATTTCTCAAACCCCCCCCTCGTCACACATCGTCACAAATGTCGGCAAATAATATTGTGGTGGGTGGGGCAAGTTGGCAAAGATTGAGGAAAGCCAGTTACTAAGACAGGAATTGGAGTGGTATGTATGTATGTATAACTTCTTTCGCACCGTACTTAGCCGACCGTGCTAATTCGATGACTAAGAGGAAGACCTAAGAACAGATTGTGGGATGCTGATGG